CGGTACATCTTAAATCTCAATTTATGATAAGCGTTGTTTTAATTTGTTGATATGCTTCCTTTTATTTGTATGTATATAGTTGGCATCTCATCATGAATTTATTATTAAATAAATTATAATACGATGCATAACAATTGGAAAATTATAACTGAACTATTTATTACAATATTATTAATAATTACATGGGTATATTTCAATTAATTTGGGATGATGTTTATATCAATGTTGCCACTGTTAGATCTCTTGTAAGAGAGTGTATTTCATGTGTAAATGATGTCCTTTTTCGGTTGTGGTAGTAGCATAGCAGTTGTTGACATTATAAAAATTTAAATATGATCATTTAAATAATGTGTCGTTCTGTTTAATTGGATAAAAATCGTTAAAATTGGCGACCAAACTTTTTGGTCGTTGAATGTGATAATTGGCAACCAAACTTTTTGGTCGTTGAATGTGATGATTGGCGACCAAATTTTTTGGTCGGGAAAATATCACTTTTTGCGACCAAAGTGTTTTAGCGACAAAAAAAATTAGTCGCGGTAATTAAATATTTAGCGACCAAAAATTTAGTCGCGAAATCTAACTTTTGCCGACCAACCATAATTTTGGTCGCGAATTACTTTTGCCGACCCTCAATTGGCGACCAAAGTAGCGACCAAAAAAATTAGTCGTGGATAACTTTTGCCGACCAAAAATTGACTTTTAGCGACCAATTTTTTTGTTGCCAAAAGTGGTAATTCTTGTAGTGATTGTTTGACTATTGAGGCAATTCTATAGGAGGATATGATTTTGTAAAATCATTAATTATGGCTTGTGTAGTCATAATTATTTTGAGGTTCTATTTCATTCACTATACATAATTTAATTGAGTGTGATAGTATTTATTTTTTATGTCACTTTTTAATTAAATGTAATTATATTCTTTTTTTTTATCACACATTTTAATTAACGTGTGATTTTATATATTTTTAAATTTTATTTTTATATCTAATATTCCCACATCCTTATTTTGAAGAAACAGGAAGCATCCTTAGTTTGAATCTGAGGAAAATCGATCAACTCTCGCACTCACTTTCTTTCTTTCTCTCTCTCTCTCTCTCTCTAAACCCTAATCTCTCTCAACCGATCGAATCAACAATGATTCATCTCAGTGATTTCGATTCATCTCAGAGAGGGGATGAAAGATTCATCTCAAAGCAATTTCGATTTTGATTTCAAAGTTCTCTTTCTCAATTTTGAAGTTTTATCTCTCTCAATTTCGAAGCTCCACCGCCACCACCGTCTGCACCAATGAGAGCGAGCACCATCGTCTACTAAGGTGAGTACCACCGTCTACAATGTTAGTTTCGTATTCTCTTTCTTCTTGTCAATTCTTCTCTTACGTTGTGTTTGGTTGGAGGATTTGGGAAGGGATTTGGAAAGGGAAAGGGACAAGGCGTGTGAAACTAGGTGAAATATAGATATGTTTTATTCACATTTCACCTACCTTTTCCATTTTCCTTTCCAAATCTCTCCTCAAATCCTCCAACCAAACACAAAATTAGGGTTTACAATCTTGAATCTTCTTCTAGGATTTTCAATCAGCCATCTCTAATAATGTGATCAACATAGGTACAATGTAGATTTTGTTGTGTAGATAAGGATCGAAAATTGGGGCATAACGCCTTAGAGAGAAGACAGATGAAGAGGTTCTGTTCTATATATCTTCTCTCTTCTATAGAATTGTCATTTTATATATATTTTTAATATAAATACATGCTAGTCTCAATTTAGATTTGTGTTGTATGATGTGTTGTGCTTACAATTGGTATGTTTTCATTGTCTCTGCTTGCATAAAGCCTATTTTCTCATGAATTTTGGGTTTTGTAAGTTGCAAAATGTTAGTCTGGAAAATGTTCTCAAGTGGTAATCTCTCTCTCTCTCTCTCTCTGATCATGAAGTTCATATTTAATTGTAAATTTGTTGTGAGAGATGTGAATTTGAATCCATTGATGTATTGCTTTGTAAGATTGTGTGTATGGTCATCAATTCCATCATCAAAAGATGAGAGTTACAAAAATTGACATTTCTCATTTGCTTAATATATACAAATAAATAAATAAATAAATATATATATATATAATGATGTTTGAATAAACCAACTAGATAAGTCACAAAATGAATACTAATGTTGGACACAACTGGATTCAAGCCAAATTCTCAAACACATACACAAGTTAAGCCCAACATAATATAATTTAGCCTAAGCTCAAGATTAACTCCAAATCCAAGTTTAAGATCAAACCCAGCACATGCACAAGCACAATCCTAGGTCCAGTCCAAACTAAGATTAAGTCCAAATCTAAGCTCATCTTTATTAATGCCCGTTTCATGGGATAATTCTCATTCACAATTCAATGGTTTCGGCTCATTATTTTTGTATTGCAACCTTATCATTTAAAAGAATACAAAACCACTCACATCTACCTTAATCAGTGGTTGGGTACCACTTTAGTGGCAATAGCAGGCTGGCCAAAGGCAGCAGTAGGTTGAACAGCAGCAGGCTGGCCACAAGCAAACTGAACTACTACAGGCAAAGCAGAAACAACAGGAGTAGAAGGCTGAAGAATGTTGTGGTGATAAAATGTGTGAAGAAGATGAAGGCTAGCGATAAAGGCCTTGACTATGAATACCTCTAAAGAGAGGTATCTTGGTAGTCTTGTCCTGAACCACAAATGATTTGTCATCAGAAGTAACAGTGCGATTATTATCTGAAGTCAATTTATGAACTGAGAGAAGATTAGATAAAATATGTGGAACATAAAGAACATTAGTCAATTTGAAAGGAAAAGATGGGGTTGGAAGAATACCATTGTCTGTGTTGTGAATAGGAAGATGACTACCATTTCCAACAATCACATGATCTTGGCTATGATAGGGACTATAGACTTGGACATTATTAAGATCGGGAGTTACATGATTTGTGGCAGCAGAGTCCACACACCAATTAGAGGAAGAAGGAGATGAAGATGTAAGAAACGCAAGTTTGTCAGGAGATGGATTTGGAGTTGGTGTTTGATAGGAAGTATCTAATCTGTGCCAGCATTCAAGATAAGTATGGTTTGGTTTGCCACAAATCTGACAGACCAAAGAAGAGGAAGATGGATGTGATGGATGATGGAACGATGAAGATCTTCCTCCTCAACGATTGAAAGTATTTTTAGAAAAATATATACCTCCTCCGCTATGAGAAGAGCCTCTGTATGATGATATATTTCCATGACTCCCAATCTGATAAGAAGATGACCTGTTTGAAGTCTCATTTCTAGTTGCAGTGTAAGCAAAAGTAAGATTTGAAGAAGAGGATTTATGATCGACCTCAATATGCAAAGCCTCTGAACAGAGAAGAGAAGCAAGATCCTCCACAGCGATGGCCTCTGATCGAGCTCGAATAACTACTTTTAAAGCATTATATTTAGATGGAAAGCCATTGGTGTTTGATAGGAAGTATCTAATCTGTGCCAGCATTCAAGATAAGTATGGTTTGGTTTGCCACAAATCTGACAGACCAAAGAAGAGGAAGATGGATGTGATGGATGATGGAACGATGAAGATCTTCCTCTTCAACGATTGAAAGTATTTTTAGAAAAATATATACCTCCTCCGCTATGAGAAGAGCCTCTGTATGATGATATATTTCCACGACTCCCAATCTGATAAGAAGATGACCTGTTTGAAGTCTCATTTCTAGTTGCAGTGTAAGCAAAAGTAAGATTTGAAGAAGAGGATTTATGATCGACCTCAATATGCAAAGCCTCTGAACAGAGAAGAGAAGCAAGATCCTCCACAGCGATGGCCTCTGATCGAGCTCGAATAACTACTTTTAAAGCATTATATTTAGATGGAAAGCCATTTAGAGTAATCAAGACTAGATCCTTATCCTCAATAGGAGAGGTAGCAAGTGCTAACTGATCAGCAAGACTCTTGATCTGAGCAAGATATTCTTCCATGGACTCAGATTTCTTCATGATACTACTGAGTTTGTTGGTGTATGCAAGATCTAGAGAGTGACGTGAAGCGCTTATCAAGATACTTCCAGATTTCTTGACAGCTTTTGTAATAAAACACAGATGTAAACACCGTGGGAGTTAGAGTTACTGTAATACAGCTCAACAAATGTGAATCAATTTGTGTCCAACTCAGAATTCAGTATTGATCACATCTTTACCTTCTGAATCTGTGATCGTTGCAGATGGACCAGCAACAGTACCGTCTACATAACGGAGAACATTCATGGCTCTGAGTATATTTTGGAGATGTGTTTTTCCAAACAATGTAATTTGTAGAATCCAATTTGATAGTAACTGTAAATCAAAACACAAAACATGCAGCGGAATAAAGTGTTTAGATCATACCTCGTTTGATCTAAAACCTCGTGGATAAATCACGTGCTTCCATACTCAATCAATCAATCCCAGCAGTGGGGTGATATTACAATGGTGAATATCACCCACACAAACCACAGTGCAAAATGACTTTTATCGTTATTTTGGGAGAGAGTCAGTATCATGGGTAGAAACAAAACATACGTTGTTTCTCTCTTGGTTACCCATAACCATATATCAGATATATATTATATTTATCTCATTTATCCATTGGTTAAATGAGATAATATCTGATATCTATATCATCTATCCATATCATGATATGATAGATATATATCCTGAGTGGCTCATCCAAATAGGTTTGAATTTAAATTCAAAACCCATTTGGATGAGGTTCAAAAGGTTCTAAGGGTCATGCCACATGGGCGCCCAATTTCTAACAGTAACAAAAGAATTGAGACTTGAAATCAGAAGTGTGAGATTAGGAGGAAGAGAAGCCATTGAAACAAATTCAAGAACTCGAACTCAAGAATATAATGTAAGAAAGAAGATGAACCCTCGATACTCGTTTGAGTAAATCTGCTCTGATACCATGATGAGAAAATGAAATCTTCAATCTCATTTCACAACAAACCAGTACATAAGTATTTATAATACAAGAGTGCAACCTAACCAACTATTAACAAACATATATATAATCTATACATACACAGACCTCTCTAACTGATTCAGTTAGAGAGGCAAGTTATCCTCGATTTTCATTCGTGGGTTCTACTTGCTTGAGCTGGAGATATATTGCTTGAGCTGGAGATATACTCTTACCAACCAACACATAGAATCCTGAAAAATGAGTAGGCATAATCATCGTAGATGTAGTTATAATGAAAAAATTAATAGGTACTCTTGGAGTATCACGTGTCATTACAACATATAATTTGGTCTCTAAAAGTAAAAATTTTGTTGCAAAAGACATGTAGGGACCAATTTCTATCGTCGTGAGAATAGTCACTAAAAGGTCGTCCCGAAAAGTAAAAAATAAGACTGTTAGCAACAAAATTTTGAAAATGTCACTAATAAATACACTTTTAGGGACAAAATAATTTTGTCTCAAAATAGTTTATTTTTTGACACAAAAAATTTGGTCCAAAAAAGATAATAATTTATCACTAATGTCTAATTTTTGTTGCAAAAATATAATAACGACACTTTTGGCAACAAAAATATTAGGCCCCTAAAAAATAATTTTGGTCTCGAAAACCTCAATTTTTTATAGTGTCTAAATTATTTCAACATTCACCATGCTTCCTGATTTTTCTCAATCATCTAATATAAAATTATAATACTATACTTTTTTCACCAATTATAATACCATAAAACACCATATGATCTTGCTCCCAGAGTAATAGGCCACAAACCCAAATTGAATGGTCCATTTAAGTTTGCCAACTAGAAGCGGAACCATTTTCATAAATCTACCTTAAAAATTCAAAATTAAACAACTTTTATACCATTTATTTGGGTTTACAAAATTTGAGTTTCATGTACTTGCCAAGTCTGATTAAGGACTCATTTGGGAAATAATAGTTTTAGTTTAAAACCCAAAAAAAATTATTTAAAAAAAGAAAAATGTTTCAGACCCCCTTTCCCCCCCATCCCCTTTGACCCCCTCTCAACATGATTGGCCAGTTTTTTCTTTTTTCTTTTTTCTTTTTTCTTTTTTTCCTTCTCCTCCAATCACCACCCGCCATGTATGTGTGGAGGTGGTGGGGGTGGTGATTGGAGGGGGTCTCTATCAAAGCCCTTAAAAAAAATCAAAAAGCCTATAACCTATATCAAAAAGTCAAATGTTCTCTTTTCTCTTTACTTTTTTCACATCTTTTCGTAAAAAATCAAAATATCATTCCAAACATATACATTTTTTTATTCCATATTCTAGCTAAAAAGCCAAAAAATCACTAAAATATCATGTTTCCAAACGAGGCCTAAGTTTATCAAACTCTTCAGTTGTATTTGTTGAACAACAATGTTAGGGATACTAAATATTTTATCAAAAAAATTATTAAATGCTTAAATTTTTTGGTAAAATATTTAGGGATTCTATCATTTTTCTTTTTTGAAATTAATCAAAGTACAAAAAAAAAAATAACATCATTTAATTATGAGATCAATTTGATTTATTTTTCACAAATTAATAGCGGTCCAAGGTTCTTTTGAAACTTTAGGCTAATTGTTAAAATTAGACCTTATTTTACCGGGCCATTGAAAATTCAGATCCTTCAATAATAATGCAATTTTTTTACTGACTTTAGACAACATGTTGAGTGACCTAATAGTTGAACGACCTCTATCATAAATGATCCGCGAACAGGGTCAACATAGGGCCGGTTGAAGCCTAAAGCAATTGAAGCAATGACTTTAGGCCTCAATTGCAAAATGGCCCCAAAATTTTCGTATATAACCATAAGTCAAATACAATTCAATTGTTTCTCATAAGGTCTACTTTGTTGAAGGCCTCCACAAAACTAACACAAGAAAAATGTAAAAGAATATATATTTCCATGAGCATAAATACAAGTTTTAAAATTTTGGTAAAAATGTCCATCGGTTTTGTATATGTTTGTCATATGCACACATTTTTTCATTTTTGTTCCTTATATATACTCTCCTTTTTGCCTCTCGATTAGCACTGCACTGACTGCGTGTTCTGAGACTGCTAAGTACAAAAAACCAGTTCCTCCCCTCGGTACTGGGTTGCGAAAGAACGGAGTTGTGGTCAAGTACTTTTTAAGGTCGGTTAAGGGCGGCTTCACATTCTTCGTGTCCATAGGAAAGTCCGTGGCTTTTTTCACACAGGTTGAAAGAGGGTCTGCATTTATCTGAGCTTTCTGCTGATGAATCTGTTTAGGGCTGCGGCCCTTCCATAAGCACTTGAACTTGCTTGCGATGTCGGGGCTCTGTAAGTCCAGAGATGGCCTTGATTTGGTCTGGGCTGGCTTCAATGCCCTTTCTTGTTACCAGATATCTAAAAATTTACCTGATCCAACTCCGAAGGCGCGACTTTGAGGCGTTGAGTCGGAGAGCGATACTTTTGAGTATGTCAAAAGACCTCTTTAGGTCGCAAGGACCCTTTGATCCCTTGTCTTCACACCATATCGCGATGTGACTTCTACTATTTTGCCAATCAGGTGTTTTAACACTTTGTACTAACCTCTGATAGGTTGCTCGCTGCGTTTTTCAACCCAAAAGGCATTACCTTGTAACAGTACAGGCCTTTAGGGGTGATGAACGCGGTTCTCCTCGTCTGGAGGGTAACATGGCAATCTGGTGGTAAACCCTCGTGTATGCGTCCAAAAACTCATCCTTTCATGTCCTGAAGTGGCGTCTACCAGTTGGTCGATTTTGGGCAGAGGAAAGCTGTCTTTGGGGCAAGCTTGTTAAGGCTGGTAAAGTCTACACAACCCTCATTTGCCATTTTTCTTTTTTACTACTACTGTGTTGGAACAGCCATGCGGGGTACTGAACTCTTGGATGGCCCTGGCCTCCAGGATCTATTGCCTCTTCTTCTACTGCTTCGACGTACATCAACGTCGGTCTTCTGGCTCGGTGAATCACAGGTTTTGCGATCTGTCGACATTCAGTTTGTGGCAAGTGACCTCGGGGTCAATTGCCTGGCATTTCATAAGGTGGTCCAGGCGAACCACTTCTATGTTTGCCCTTAAGAAATCCTCCAGTTCTTTCTCTCTCTCTAGCTAAGCCTGAGCCGAGAAGAAAGAAACCTCTTCGGCGTCCTCTTGGACGAAATTTTTTTTTTAGCGCCCCTTCGCTCTTTTCGGCTGGTTCCTTCCCGACGTCTCTAGGACCTCCATGTCCTCATCTTCAATTCTGCGTTCCTTGGCTCCCGATACTACAGGTGGATTTCATTGCTGTCATGGAGCAATTTTTTGCTTGTAGTTGATCCCCTCTGACTTCTTCAATCCCATGCTCTGTTGGGAACCGCAGTAGTTGAGTGCAACGTTTGAAGGGAACTGCCCCCATTGCATGCAACCACGGCTTCCCAAATGAATGTTGTATGGTGAGGCGTGTCAATTACAGGAATCCGTCTGGATCTTTCTTAGTGCCGGCTTGTACCTCCAGGCTTGCTGCGCCAGTGGCCCATGTCGGCGTTCCATTAAAGCCGACCATCGGGCCGCTGGATTTGTTCTAAGTTATCAGGGTGAAGCCCACTCCTTGTAACATCTGACATACATGAGTCACAGGAGCTGCCTTTGATCTATTAGGAATGCGTTTCCTTGGCATTCCCCAACCTGGAGGGATACTACCAAGGCATCATAATGTGGATGTTGGACCCATTCCAGGTCGGCTTTCAGTGAAGGCTATCATCGGCCTTGGCATTCTTCTGGCCGATGTCTCTTCTCCCCGACTTGGTAGATTTGCTGTAAATGTCTAACCCTCTGGGTTTCTCCTTTGACTTCAATTTTCGTTGAACCTTGAGTGGAATCACATTAACCACCCTCGGTCTTCCTGCTTGTGGTAGTTGTGCTGGGGGAGGCGGTGCTGCTGGTGCTTGAGGCAACCTTGCCTGTCTTCCCTTGTCCTGGCCTCAGGCGACCAGGTCCCTCAGAAGCCTTGTCTTACGAGGTCCTCAAGTGTGCTTCAGGCTCTGGCAGCCTTGAGTGGGTGCCCTTCTCTATTGTGGTAGGCACAACGTTACCAAACGCCTTCCTTCATGAATTCCCCTGGTGCTCTTCGCTGGAGCCCTGAAATATGTTGGTTTCGAATCTGATCTAAGACTTTATGATTGGGATCGAAATACCGTCGTTACCGCTGTTTATCTCCTCAACTCTGTTTCTTTTTGTCGGGCCGATTGTGCCTCGACCTCGCTTCCGGCAAGCCGTTTCCCTTTTCTAGCTTTACCTCTTTGTTTCCCGATGTATCTTGCTTCGGCCTGGCGTATTTCTCAATTCTTGCCATGAGTTCTTCCATGTTTTTTGGCAATGTTTTTGCCAAGACTTCCTGTAGTGGGCAGTCATCGTTTCAGGCCGTTCTTGAGACCGACTGCTACCTCCTGGTTGCATTCGGGTATTCGATTGAAACACCTCGTAGTCCTCTTCGCATAGGCCTAAGGCCTTTCCTTGGTGATTCTTAGAGCCATCAAAAGCATCACCCCTCAGGGGTTGCAGCTTGTTGGTCACGAACCTGGCCACAAACTCTCGGCCAGCCTTCCCATGTCTTTATGCTTCATTTTGGTAATTTATGGAACCAATCAGATGCAATTTCCCCAAAGGAATGAGGGAATACTTTGCAGAGCAACGGCTCATCCCGCTATATAACGCCATTATCTCAGTATAGTCCAACATGAAGTGGTTGGATCTGACTTGCCATCATAAATTTGAAACCTTGGCATACTGAATCCTTGGGTGGTTCGAATTTGTCCAGTTCCACCGAGAGGCTGTCTTTTGGTTTTACTGGGGAGTTACCTCGGCTTCAGCATTCTGCTGCCTCTTTTGAGGTAGTCCTCAGTCTTCTTTGCCCTCCCTGGAGCTCGGCTGTCTTTGGATTTTAGTCGTTTTGGTAACACTGCTTTCGGCCTCGTGGTGGGTCCGTTTGGATCTTTCTTCATGGGTTGTGTCAAAGTGGAGTACTTGTCCTGAACATGTCGATGTTCTTTGGCTCTGGATTCTTCATGTGGTGCGTCCTTCCGACTCTTCTTGCCTCGACTTTTCCCGTTCGAGCTCCCTGGAAGCCGGTGAGATGTCTTCCGCTCCTGGTATGCTGAGGACCTCGGGGATTGTTTTTCTTCCGCCCTTTTGGGTGTTGGTTGCTGGCATCGGCGTATCTTG